GCGGTTGCCAGGAGAACGGTACTTGTCTGACTGCATTGTGCCAAGTGTAAAGTTTGGTGGAGGGGGGATTATGGTGTGGGGTTGTTTTTCAGGAGCTGGGCTTGGCCCCTTAGTTCCAGTGAAAGGAACTCTGAATGCTTCAGCATACCAAGACATTTTGGACAATTCCATGCTCCCAACTTTGTGGGAACAGTTTGGAGCTGGCCCCTTCCTCTTCCAACATGACTGTGCACCAGTGCACAAAGCAAGGTCCATAAAGACATGGATGACAGAGTCTGGTGTGGATGAACTTGACTGGCCTGCACAGAGTCCTGACCTCAACCCGATAGAACACCTTTGGGATGAATTAGAGCGGAGACTGAGAGCCAGGCCTTCTCGTCCAACATCAGTGTGCGACCTCACAAATGCGCTTCTGGAAGAATGGTCCAAAATTCCCATAAACACACTCCTAAACCTTGTGGACAGCCTTCCCAGAAGAGTTGAAGCTGTTCTAGCTGCAAAGGGTGGACCGACGTCATATTGAACCCTATGGATTAGGAACGGGATGTCACTTAAAGGAATAGTACACCCAAAACATGATTAGCCTTCATTTTCTACTCACCTCCATGCTGAACAACACTCTGGAGTACTTTTTTGATATCTCAAATGCATCTGGAGATCTGGGAGGCTTCTTGCTGTCTGCTGACATTCAAATAATGGAGGTCCATGGCGCCCGAGACAGAAAGGTCCATAAAAGTCCACAAAAACGTGTCAATATTCCTCCATACTGCTCGTCCAATGTAATCCAAGTGTCCTGAGTGGGTAGCATCCAGAATTTACTCGAAACGAAGTCATTTAGAATGTTTTTAGAGCATAAACAGTAGTGTATAGGATTTCCTAATAGCGCCCCCATGCGCGCTCACGATTCTATGGAAGCCGGCAGACCAAACCAGCGCATTCAGCTCGGCAAAGAACTCATGCTCTTCCTCAACACTGAAGTCCTCAGACATTTTTCTTTCGTTGTTTCTTTCTTTGCACAGGTAAACAGCACATTTCTTCTTCTACGCTTGCATTATCGGCAGACCAGACGCTGAATGCGCACTTTCTTCCGGTTTGGTCTGCCGGCTTCCGTAGAATCGTGAGCGCGCATGGGGGCGCTATTAGGAAATCCTATACACTACTGTTTATGCTCTAAAAACATTCTAAATGACTTCGTTTCGAGTAAATTCTGGATGCTACCCACTCAGGACACTTGGATTACATTGGACGAGCAGTATGGAGGAATATTGACACGTTTTTGTGGACTTTTATGGACCTTTCTGTCTCGGGCGCCATGGACCTCCATTATTTGAATGTCAGCAGACAGCAAGAAGCCTCCCAGATCTCCAGATGCATTTGAGATATCAAAAAAGTACTCCAGAGTGTTGTTCAGCATGGAGGTGAGTAGAAAATGAAGGCTAATCATGTTTTGGGTGTACTATTCCTTTAAGCTCATATGTGAGTCAAGGCAGGTGAGCAAATACTTTTGGCAATATAGTGTATTTCAAACACTTGAAATAGTCACTGTTGGAGGAAATAATCCATGTAACTCTTTTGTGATATTTTGTTTATTCATGTTGCATCTGGAGAATAATTGAAATATTTATATATATAGGAAAGCTGTGTTTTACAGCATGAGTTTTTACCCCTTGGTGATTTTCTTCTTCATTTAAACATTTGTGTGCAATATTCCCTCTTCATTATTCTTTGTTCATAAAAGCCATCAATAAAATGCAAACACTCAAAATTGGGATATTTTGTATGTTACTGAAATTAGAGGCCGTATGACTTGTGCATATTTACAGGCATTCTTTACTTTTAAAGTAAAAGTTTCTTAAATTTTGCTTTTCTCAATGTTAATTTAGTTTCCAACATAATTTTTCAGTTTCCCTAATCGTTTTGTTGAACTGTAGGGAATCAAAGGCTGTTTTTAAGATATTTTAACAGACAGAAGTGACCAAAATCATCTTGAATCAGATCAGGGCTCTAAACTTCATCTGTCAAAGTGAGATTCTGTTCAGACATCTGCCAACCGAGCCCTTAGGGACCTTTTTATAATGCAGCACACACACACAGTTCTCAGAGTGCATTTCTTGTTTTTGCCCTACAGCAGTTTCCATAATTGTAACTTGATTGAAATACGATGCTATGACTAGACAAGAGTCTGAAGTTTTCAACATTTAGGGGAGGTTACTTTTTTATGTTGTAGAAACCACCCAATGTCAGGTAATTATTGAGTTTTTTTTTTCTTGCTTTGTTAGTGCCCAAAATAATCTGACTAGATAAGGTGAATCAGAATGCAGAGAGAGGTTATGGAAAGAGGTTTTTCTCCAGCGTAAACCTTTCAAGTCGATACAGCGTCTTCATTTCTGCCTGATTGACTCCAGCACTCACTCAACCAGTCTGATCTCATTTAGTGATAGGTTGCTTGCCGGGCAGGTTTGTCGTCTCTTGGCTTTAAAACCTGTCGCCGGATGCAGACGTTGTCTCACTCGATTAGGGAATCATCCTGCCATGTTAGTAATCTGCAAAAATTTAATCTTGTATACGAGCACAGCTGATTCTGAGTCCAGAGAGATGCAGGGTAGGTCCTGTTGTGTTAAGAGGGAGATTTTAAAGTGACCAATTTAATTGTCTTTTTGATCCCCAAAGCTTATCCATTGCACGGTTTTTGATTCTTGTAGTGCTCGAAATGTTCTTAGCTTCACAATTTACAGTAAGTTTATAAAAACTGGGGCTGCAACTAATCTGTAAATTATTTTTTTCGATTACTAATTGGATAGCAAAAGGTTTCTTAAAGAAAACTTTTTATGAAATTAAACCAGGTGAAACCAAAACTTTTCCACTTGAGTAATTCTGGATGAAAAGACGAAAAAACTTTTTTAAAATCTTGAATGCAAAATGTTTATATATATAAAAATTATATTATTTCTGCTCTAAGTAGGTCTGTCAGCTAAAGGTATATTTTAAAGTCTCTATACTCCAGTTAACGATTAATCGATTACTAAATTAGTTGACAATTATTTCAATAATCGATTCTTCACATTTAATCTAATTAATTGTTTCAGCCCTAATAGAAACCAAAACTCCAAACGCCAAAACACTTATGGTGAGTATCAGTGTATTCTGGAATAAAAGCAAGAGAGTCAGACACATTAATCACCTGGAATTTGGAACACTGAGGTTTTCAGATACTTCCATGTATTTGCAAGTTCGCAGTTCCTTTTTACTATGCAATCTCTATCTTTTTACTTTTCGGTTATTTGTGTATTTTGTGCTTAAAGGATTTTACATTCTGAGACAGATAGTTTTTATATCATAGATGTGGATGGAAGCAATGTTTGGATAAATGCTCACTGAAAAGGCCATAGAAATAATCCTTCTAAAACAAGAATAATGTTTTTGTTTTTGCTCAAATATGTTTTTCTGTCACATGTGTCTTTTCCTATTATGAATGTATAAAAAGTTCAGTTATATCCTGTGATGTGTTTTCTGATTATAGTGCGAAACTTATTTATTAAACAAACAAACAAAAAAATCGAAATAAATAAATAAAACAAACAACTGGAAAGAATCCCAGATTAGACCTCATCTAATTATATTTTTAAAATCAATTTTTATAATTTATTTTAACAACCAACTAAATTTGGAGACTAAACTTGGAAACGTAAATGCTCATAGTTCAACAGAGAAGGTTATTATGTTTTTAAGTAGACCAAATTATTGTTTAACATATAAAGAACATTGAAAATTACATAAAAAGGTCCTTTTTAATGAAGATATATTTCCATTTTTTTTTACCGTGGAAAACTTAAGCCTATTTGCTTAACATTAAAAAAGAATTGGGGTATAATAACATTAGTGGAATAATCGGAAAACCAAAATCATTGCTGACCACAAATGGCCATTAGACGAGTTTCAGTCTTTACCAAATTATAGAGATAAAATCTTAGAAAAAGATGCTCAAAAAAAAGAGGAAACTTTTTTGAAAAATACATCCAGCTATAGCTGCTGTAAAACTACTATACATTTAAGAAAAAATAGCATCTTTTACACCATGGTGGGGTAGAGTGATGTTTCGGGCTTTGCTGCTTCAGCAGCTGAATGGCTTGATTAAAGCAGGAATATGTGTGTCTAGAATAAAATCATGAACTTGAACTTTCAGTCTTGACTTTCAGTCTTGACTTTGCTCTCTTTTGGTATCTGTAGCACACCACCAAGTCCAACTCTGAATTGCTGAAAAAAAATCCCCCCCATAAAAACAGTATTTTGTTAGTGGCCTATTTAGAGTCTGGACTTGCATCAAGTTGGAATCATGTGGGATATCTTAAATACACTGTTCACGCTTGAAAATTTTCACTTGTCTGAACTAATTTAAAAAATCCCTCAGTTTGACACAACATTTTAGGGGGTACTTATTTTTCAGTTAGTAACTGATTGGTTAAGACAGTTTTTCCCCCCTTGATTAATAAAACCATGTGAAAGTCACCTTTTAAGCTGTGTTATCATGTGACCTTAGTCACATTTGCATGTGAGAGAAAAGCTTTGAACTAGTGTTGCGCCGATGCCCTTTTTTGGCCCCGATACCTGGCTGTACAGTATCGGCCGATACCGATACCATAATAATGTAAAATAATTGCCATCATGGCTTTGTCAAGCTGCTGCCTACCTTTGTGAAGCAGGAAATAATCTAATACAAAGTGAATCAAGTAGAACTTTTTATTGCCTACCTGGAATAAGTGATAATAGTTGAATAAACTTTTGGCTCTTAAAATGGTATCGGTGCCCTATTTGTTGGCACTCGCCAATACCGATACCACCATTTTAGGGCAGTATTGGGGCCCCGTCCGATACTGGCATCGGTATCAGTGCAACACTACTTTAAACAAGACCAGTGCTCCGGTAAACACTTTTTCAATGCAATGTAGTGGTCCTAGAGTGTCTCTTTTTAACTGCAGGTGTTGTGCTGCATTTTTTCTCAGTTGATTAAAGTCCATGGAGAGGACAACTCTTCCAGGTCTGTGTGGGTTTCTTCCCAAGCCACTGCCAGAGAGGTGTGCCTCCTATTGGCCCGGTCAGCTCACTGCAGTGATCACCAGAACTGGGCGCTCCTTGAACACTATCCCACCCTGGGCCTAGGTAACTCTGACCTTAAACACATCATGCTTCTAAATTTATTCATTTAAATCATTCAGTGGTTGATTTTATAAAGTAGAATTGGTCTGAATTTTTGGCAGTTGTAGCTATTTAGACATTCACCAGAGTAATTTCTTACGTCTTTCCGGCAGTGTCTTGTTTTGCTGTTGTCTAAATGCAAATGAGGTACTTAAAACCCCTTCAGGTTGAGGAGCGTTCCACTCCACCCAACATGTTTGTTTTGATAGCAGATGTATGATAATTTAGTAGTGCAGAAAATGTGTTAAAAGATGTCAACAGTAGAGTTGTCCATGAAAAGAAAAGTCCAGTCAGCAAGGAATAATCAGTGGATCATTATTTATACCTAAAACTAATATATTTGCAGTGATCTAATGAATTTAGCGTAAATCAGTAAAAAACTAAAAATTATAATTTTCGTCATTATCACTGGGGCCATTTTTGACCAAATATAGTAACACCTCACTCCTGACATCTTCCGGCAGTGGCGTCAAGGTGCAGTAAGCCTAGCGCCATTCTCCTCGCTTTACAAGCAAAATCAATGGGAAGAGACACATCTGCAATTAACAACAATTATTTAAGATTTCAAGAGGACTTCTCCATTGAAATTTGTGAGAGCTGTAGTTAAACTGACAATGCCCACGTGCATGGCAGTTGGATGTTGTAATACATCGGGTAAAAGTGAAAACAAAATCCAATTCATGATCCTCCACGGACGGGTTCGTTGTTGGATTGCAGACTTGAAGAGGGAGGTTTTCGAAGTTTTATCAAACTTTTGACCAGAGGAAAAAATATGTAATGTGTAGCCAGCTCGTTGTGACAAAGACCAGATACAGCATTGGGACTTGATCAACAGCCGATACCGCACCATGACGTCATAAACCAGTAGGTGGTAGTAATGTTCTTTAACAAACATGGATGCCTCTACTAAAGCACATCCAAATGAAAATTACTCTTAATTAAAAATACTTATCATTTATTGAACAGTATGTAATAGTTTCATATTTAAAGTACTTTCAGATATTTTAATTCTGAATATGACCGTACTTTTCCTTTAATTTCCCGTTAATGTGTTTGAATCTGACGAAGAGCAAAAGTGTTAAAGAAAAATGTCATTCAAAATGATGGCATCTGTGTATTTTATCCTTGAAGGTTCACCTTCTTGAACAAGCGCAGAGAAAACTTAGGTAATTCAAAGTAGTAACATAAACTGTAAACCTTTCACAACTTTCAGTAATGTTACTGATAATATTTTAACACAAAGTACACATTAGACTACATGTAACTGCCTGAGGGCTGTAGCACATCTGCAATAGGTAGACTTGAAGAATTCAGTTGGCTGATAAGGCGAAGACTTCACACATCCATTCAAAGTGATGAAAAGCAAACAGGAAGAGGCACAAATATATAGCCACAGGAGACAAAGTCTGAAGTAGTAATTTCAAAGTGAAAGTGAAATCTTTTATGCCATGTTAAACTTTGTTAGAGGCATATGTTTTTCTTCAATTATTAACGGTAATTCAAATAAGATGCATTGTTCAAAGGGGCAAAAAAAATTTTTTCTCTTATGCACTAAGGATACATGCTGCTGTCTTCTATGGAGAGCCATTTTATTCTAAATGAAATAAATACTGCTATTGATAAATTGTCAATAAATGTTCCATTGAATAAATATCCTCATGAAATAAAACAATATAAATATTTTATTTGATCATATTTCAAGATTTTTTTATTTAGTCAGAGATTGATTAATTACGTTATTTATTTGTCTCATAATGGACTATTATTTGTGACACTTTTAATTTGTAAAGCTACTTTACCTATTCAGTGACTTTTTATTCTTTGAGTTTTTCATTTTATGCTCCTTTTATTTTAAATGAGGCGGTGGTGAATATGTGAAGTAACTTCACAAAGTGAAAGTGTCACAAAAAAAACATCTCCATTATGGAATAAATAAATAATAAAATAAATAAACGAAGTAAAGAATCAATATTTGAGCAAAAAAAAAACCCAATGTTTTATAATGTTTATTTCATGGAGATGTTTTATTTATTTAATAGAATATTTATTGAAAATTTATCAATAGCAGTATTTATTTAATTTTGAATGAAACAGCTCTCAATAGTCTTTAGGCAAAAAAAAAAAAAAATTATCAAATGTATTACTCAATTTTAAATGTAGTGTGCTTTATCGAAACTTAAAATAAATGTCTTTATGTGGACATCATATATTTCAGACTATATGAATAAAAATTTATAAAATAAAAAAATAAAAATTGAGGTTTTACACTGGTCAAGTCCTATTAAGCCTGAATAGCTAAGAGAAATTAAGAATACACGCCACATAGAAGTTGGGGTCTAAAGATGTTATTATTAATAATTTTCTATAATATAAAACAAAATGTACTAGTTGCATATAATGCAACTCCAATGTGAATGAACACAGACTCCCTAAAGCCTTTTAATGACAGCTCCAAAGTTCATTTTATTTTTGTTCATAATGACAATAAGAATTTTAATTAAAAGGCCTCTTTTGTACAGGACCCCAACCGTCCATTGCCCACCTGTTGGCTACACTAGACATTTTAGAAGCCTATAGGTTTTAAAGGTTATTAAGGAGTTAATAATTTAGCAAAACTAGAGCCAGGAACATCACTGATTGCTTTTGGAAGCTGTGTTCCTTAAGACAAAAATGGAAACAAACAAAGAGGACTTAACATACTCATGTACTCAAATTTCCATGAAGAATAATTTTAATGGGCATCACAAGGAGGTTCTGATGTGGGTTGTTTAATCATCCTTTAACTTAAAATAAAATAAATAAATAAATAACTAAATAAAGCAAGGGGAAAAAAATTAAATTAGCTAGATTGTGTCCATGACCTTGTGATCAACAACAAATACTTAGACCAAACAGAAAATTGGACATTTTGGCAATTTGTCCAATTTGGCAATTGGACAAAATGACATTAACATGACATAACATTATATAATACATTAATGAAAGACCTTGAGAGAATAAATTTGTTATTGAACTTTTAAATACTTTTGGTACACAACAAAATTTATTTAAGAGCTAAAAAAAGAAGTAGATTTTGCATGATATCTCCTCTTTTACTGCACTAAAACTGATGGTAAGAAGACATGTTTGGGTTAAAGCTTCACCCTGACTTTTCAGAAAGATGCCTGGAGGATGACGAGCTCGTGCTGGAGGTTCAGGCCACCTGGTCTCTGAAGGACAAGACGAGATTTGTATTCTCCAAAAACTATGCCAAGTATGAGTTCTTCAATAAACAAATGGTATGTAAAGCTTTGCCTTTATTGTGTTTAATTATGTAGAGCAGCGGGTTTTATTTTGTGCAGACAGGCTTTAGATGTTATAGTCTGACATCTGTGCAGCTTAAGTATTTTAAATAATTCAAACTGATCAAAGGAGTTTCCCAGAGCTCTGTGAATTGAGCCCTCTCTGCAATTTGTGTTTCCAAAATGGAAGAAAGGTGAATATGTTAGTAAAACATTTCACATTTCAAACATTTGGAAAAATAACAGGTTTTTAAACACCTGCTCGTTGTATCAGGGAATCGTCTGGGTTTAAAAGAAGTTGTTTGTATCATTATTAAAGCTGCAGAAATTATGAAGTCATGTTTTTTTCCATCTCATGCTTCTGTAATCAGGAAATGCACATAAATGTGTCATAAAATTGATTTACAGCTAACAGACTTTGTGTCCGCCCTGGCAAAGATGTGTAAAAAAGAAACGTTAGGATAAATAAATCTTTTTCTGCAATTGAAAAAAAAAACAAAAACCCAAAAACATTGCAATAAAACATATTTATTATAGCAGTTATCACAGTTATTTAGTGTTTAGGGTGAGGTATTTGATTTTTAAAAAATAGGCAGCGATTGTGGATATGCAAACATGGTCGGTGTTACCATAGTGAAAACACAGCAACATCTGCCCAGTTTTATGCAAACCCTTCGCATGGCTAATAAAAATATATCTGAACCATTTCACATACAGTGTCTCTTAAAAAAACTAATTATGATATTTTCTGCACAAATAAAGGTTTAAAATCAAGAGCAGTAATGTTCGTTTTTTATTTTTTTTTATTTACATATTTTATTTGAAAATCTATAGTCTAGTACTTTTGTGAGTCAACAGAAACCACAGTTCTCATAATTTTCCTGCAGCGCTTCTTCCCAGAGGTAATGGTCTCAGACAGCACAGATGCCAAAAAGAAGATGACATCTGAGGAGTTCATTCAGGTGAAATAAGGAGCTTTTAAACAGCAAGGCAGTTTGAGAAAAGAATAATCTATAGATGAATTCCTCATCATTTGTGTATTTTATATGAGGTAAGATCAGAATCAAAATAAACATGTACATAAAATAACAGTTGTGTACATATTATTCAGAAGTTGTGCATAACAAACATTTGTAAACTCATGCAAAACATAAAAATATACTTTAAATCGTTACAAGTTCCATAACTAATGAATACAAATCCCAAGTTTAAATTTGTGCTTTATTCATCATGAATACAAACTAGAGCGGCTGTTTGAGAATACGGATTCACAACAGTGGTCTGACTAATAGGCCTATGTACACAACTGTGCTTTTATGTTCAAGTTTATTTTGATTGTGATCTTACCTCATACTTTTGGTTTAATTTTTATCATTTTTGATGATATATGTGAATGCATATTTGCTAGATTTAAATCTGTGCATCAGCGTAATAGAAGATCGGACAGCCAGTAGTGTGATTACCAATCAATGTTAAATTGAATATGTTAGTAAAAAAAAAAAAAAAAGAAACTAAAGATAATAATAAATAATTTTTAAACTGGTTAACTTCAAAGTAAACACATTGATAATGAAAACAAAACCTTGTTGATTGGATCCAAAGCAGTTAAGTGTGTGTTTTTAAAATGCATTTTAGAGATGGAGCTAATTTCTTTTTATCAACAGAGCCTGATGACACCCGGGACATCTCCTCAGATCCAAGGGTTTCTGTACTTGAAGGGGCTCAGAAAGAAGTCCTGGAAGAAGGTGTACTTCACCCTCCGACGATCCGGTCTCTACAGATCCACCAAAGGCTTTGAGAAGGTTGGGAAACCTCTTTTCATAAACTGGATTGCTGCTGAAAGAATTTCAATATTTACACAGTGTTTCCCTAAATGTTTTTTTTTATTTAAATGTTTCACAATCTTTATGTTGGAATCAGGATCCTCGGCACCTGAGATTCGCTGCTGATTTGGATGTTTCCAACGTTTACACAGTGGTTGACGGCTGCAAACTGTACGGAGCTCCAACTGACTTTAATTTCTGTATAAAGGTAGAAATTGTTTACAAAAATATTCCTCACCTTGTTAATCTTTGTCATATATTTCTGATATACATTTATTGTTTGATAACAAGAATATATAAATGATGCAAGTCAAGACTATATATAAATGTTTCCAAATGTAAAAAATTAAGGCTTTTTTAATAGGAGTGTTATACAGTGTGTATATATATACACTATATTGCCAAAAGTATTTGCTCACCTGCCTTGACTCACATATGAGCTTAAGTGACATCCCGTTCCTAATCCATAGGGTTCAATATGACGTCGGTCCACCCTTTGCAGCTAGAACAGCTTCAACTCTTCTGGGAAGGCTGTCCACAAGGTTTAGGAGTGTGTTTATGGGAATTTTGGACCATTCTTCCAGAAGCGCATTTGTGAGGTCGCACACTGATGTTGGACGAGAAGGCCTGGCTCTCAGTCTCCGCTCTAATTCATCCCAAAGGTGTTCTATCGGGTTGAGGTCAGGACTCTGTGCAGGCCAGTCAAGTTCATCCACACCAGACTCTGTCATCCATGTCTTTATGGACCTTGCTTTGTGCACTGGTGCACAGTCATGTTGGAAGAGGAAGGGGCCAGCTCCAAACTGTTCCCACAAAGTTGGGAGCATGGAATTGTCCAAAATGTCTTGGTATGCTGAAGCATTCAGAGTTCCTTTCACTGGAACTAAGGGGCCAAGCCCAGCTCCTGAAAAACAACCCCACACCATAATCCCCCCTCCACCAAACTTTACACTTGGCACAATGCAGTCAGACAAGTACCGTTCTCCTGGCAACCGCCAAACCCAGACCCGTCCATCAGATTGCCAGATGGAGAAGCGCGATTCGTCACTCCAGAGAACGCGTCTCCACTGCTCTAGAGTCCAGTGGCGGCGTGCTTTACACCACCGCATCCGACGCTTTGCATTGCACTTGGTGATGTATGGCTTGGATGCAGCTGCTCGACCATGGAAACCCATTCCATGAAGCTCTCTGCGCACTGTTCTTGAGCTAATCTGAAGGCCACATGAAGTTTGGAGGTCTGTAGTGATTGACTCTGCAGAAAGTTGGCGACCTCTTCGCACTATGCGCTTCAGCATCCGCTGACCCCGCTCCGTCAGTTTACGTGGCCTACCACTTCGTGGCTGAGTTGCTGTCGTTCCCAAACACTTCCATTTTCTTATAATACAGCTGACAGTTGACTGTGGAATATTTAGGAGCGAGGAAATTTCACGACTGGATTTGTTGCACAGGTGGCATCCTATCACAGTTCCACGCTGGAATTCACTGAGCTCCTGAGAGCGACCCATTCTTTCACAAATGTTTGTAAAAACAGTCTGCATGCCTATGTGCTTGAATTTATACACCTGTGGCCATGGAAGTGATTGGAACACCTGATTCCAATAATTTGGATGGGTGAGCAAATACTTTTGGCAATATAGTGTATATATATTAGTGCTGTCAAAATTATCGCGTTATTATCGCGTTAACGCGAGGCCATTTTAACGGCGATAATTTTTTTAACGTGAGATTAACGGTATGTGGTTTTATGGTACAATTTTCCAAGTACATCCCGCTGCAGCCTGCGGGAAGGCGGGGCTATTTTCCCCCAGTGTATGCATTTCTCATAGGCTTCGAGAGCGGACCTCCTCAAGGGAAAAAGACGCTCATACACTGGGTGACGCTAGTGCCTTTTCTTTAAGCCCCACCACCAACAAAGAAGTGGAGTGTCTGGTAACTAGTAGCAACCTGAAATACGCTGAGAAAACAGATTACTGAGGTGAAATGGAATCTGCTACGGCACTCTTGCCGTCTGTGTACGCCACAGGTCGGTATCGTGTGTGTGTGTGTGTGTGTGTGTGTGTGTGTGTGTGTGTGTGTGGGTGGGTGTGTGTGTGTTCTCATTCTTGTTAAGAGGCTGAAAAGTAACTTTCTAGAGCATAGACTACCTCCATTTAGTGATGTCGGTCTATTGATTTTGATGTATTGATTGAAAATTGTTCATTAATACCTTGGTTAATTAACATCTAATGTTAACTCTACTAAATTTTATAGCAGTAGGGTAAAATGCTTGTCTTTGTTCAAAAGACTGTATTAACTGTAAAGACTGTCTTTTACATCAGCCTGTTTTCAGGGCCTTTTTTTTGTCTACATATTTGTTATTTTTGGCATAAATCAGTATCTGTGACCTGTTTTCATTTTAAAAAAAGAACATTGGCACAAACCTAGCCTGTATGTATTTTTTTGTATGTCATCGAGAGTATTTAAATGATTTTCAATCAGGAAAAAAATGTGCGACTAAAATGCGATTAATCGCGAGTTAACTCAGGCATTGATGCGATTAATCGCGATTAAAAAAATTTTATCGATTGACAGCACTAATATATATATATATATATATATATATATATATATATACATAGTAAAAAGTTTTGACTAAATTAGTGAATCTTAGCTACAATGTAAAAGGGAAAAACATGGTTGAAAACCAAAATCGAGAGATAATGCAATGATATCAAAAGTTAGCTTGGATTTTGTGTTGAATACCAAAGTTTATCTTTCCGTAAAAATTCAAAAAATATCCACTGGACTTGGTTTTCAAGATTTGAAGACGTTTCGCCACCTCTCCAGGAAGCTTTCTCAATTCAAATGTCTGGATCCGCAGTGAGTTTGAGTGTTATATAGACACGCCTTGTATCGCTTGGAAACATGCAATGGTAACCGATGAATGGGTCGTTAGTTCCATCGTTAGCCTGTAATATCTGAACCTGTCTATGATTCTAGGGGTCGGTCGTTAAAGGGGGGATTGCCATTAACGGGGGGGATTGTCTCCTGTAATACCTGAAACCTGTCCATGATTGTTAAGGGTTGGTCGTTAAGGAGGTATTGTTCACCGGCTGGGGCGGGTAGGTCCCTCGTTCCTCTGTGATGGGGTGGGGGGTTTGGTGATATCTGGAAGGTTTATCTTGAATAATTTAGTTAGATAAAATTACTTTTAAACTAATTTGGAGCTATTGGAATCTTTTCAAACCAATTCACAATATTACATACAAGAGATGAACAAAACATTATTTGGAGAAAAATGTTTGATTAAATGATTTTCTTAATCAGGAACCAATATCCTTTGGTTAACTGATTCTTTACCTTCTTTAAATGAGCTAGGAGCCAGCAGACATGAGGACTCCATTAAAGAACTTTTGGCCATAATTGGTAATCAAAATATGAGCATATGAGAAAACACATGAACTTTAACAGTATATATATGTCAGAATCTCAATTCTGAAACTCAGAGAAAATTGTTGCAAATGGTCTGTTTTGCAGCATTTCTGGTTGCATCATGACATAACCTTATCAGTCTGGAGATCCGGACCTTGGACCGGGGTTTTCCATGCTGGTGCCTCTTACAATAAGACCCCCCCAGACAGTTTCACAGAAAGAGAAAGAGATCCAATGTGGAGTGGTTTTTCTGTCCTCAAACACCGTGGGGGGCAAAGGCACAACCAAGTCAACAGCAGAGCAAAACTTTTATCTTCATCACCCAATGGACATAGTTAAGATAATGAATTATTATGGTTTAAGGCACAAGATACATATATATCAGTAAAAAAAATGTAATTACTCTTCATTGCAGTGTTTGTAAAAACATACAAGACTTAACAATGGTAAGAGGAAAATCCAAAGTAAATTATGGAAAGGAAAATATTGGTAGCTAAAAGATATATTTGTAATTTCCTGCCATAAAAGAGTTGAACTTATTCAACAAAAATTATAAAATTGCTTCAACGGTCATGCACATGACTGACAGATATAATTTCTGATGGTAACTTATGTGTTGTTGATGTTTCTGCACAGCCTACCAGGAATCAAGGCCAAGTTAAGGATTTAAAGATCATATGTGCTGAAACTGAACACATTCGAACACTCTGGATGTCTGCTATAAGACTGTTTAAGGTAGTCATCATCATATTTCTTGATAAATTAATTGTACGATTTTTTTTTATCTCATTGTGTCAGCAAAATACAGACATAAACGTTAATTGTGAGCATTATGTGTGTTTTTGTGTATGCAGTATGGGGAGCGGCTTCGGCATAATTTCCAAATGTCCAAGTTGGCGCCAAGTAGCCCAGAAGGCTCAAAGCTCACAGACGGCAGAGTCAGTTTGTTCTATAATGCAACCTACTTATTCGATCTCATATTTCTGTACGCGGTGGGCTTAAACTGTGCATGTGGTCTTTGCAGTCCAAGTCGGAGGACAGCTTGGTGGCCATGGACTTCTCAGGTAATGCTGGAGGACGTGTCATAGAAAACCCGACAGAGGCGCAGAGAGCAGAGCAGGAGGAAGGACAGACTTGGAGGGTGAGAGGGAACAACTTTCCGTCTGTTGTCTTGTCTTAAGATTGATCCTAAAAGACACCCTGGTCATTAGACTGATTAACGATCCAACTGAAGTTGGAAATTCGCAGTCGTAGTTTAGTGATTTTGTATTCAGAGGAGTTGATGGACGATAAAAATTATTGCAACAATTCATATTCATTACAGTTTTGCAAATTGAACTCTTGCTGTCACATTCTTTTTAGGAGGAAGAAGCTTTCCCCTTTAGCCTTTCTATAGAAGCCATCCCTATTTCTTCTTTTCCTTCATGTCATGAACCTTTACATTTTAAAACCCGAGGCCTCCAGAGACTCAGCTGGAGCTGAGATGGGTTTCTGTTTTATTTTTTTATACATAAATCAGAAGGTATCAACTTAAAATAGCTATTGAGAGAAGAGAAATAATCTGACATTTGTTGACCTTTTCCGTTGCTTGTTTTGTGACAGAAAAGAGAGGCCCTTAGGTGCTGCCAGTCGAACATGAACGCAGAGCCCGGGACTTCCTGTAAGTCCACGTGAGGCCGAGGGGGAAGCGAGTTCAAATCCCAACATGTTTTCATAAGAAAATAAAAAAACAACTGATTTATCTCTCCTTCCTTATAGTCGTTCACAAAACTCACCCGTGGTTTCATGGTGGTTTATCCAGAAAAGAGGCGGAAAGGCTGATAGAGAAGCAGGGGCTGGCAGACGGGTAAGAAAGAAAATGTAGTTTCTCTATTTTCATTTTAAATGCTGAACTGAAGGATCTCTTAAGACATACTGTCTACTTGGGCTATTCATTTGCAGGAAATTGGCGATATGATACTTATGACTCTTGGCGCTGCCAAAGCGGCTGGAAGTTATTAAAAAAATTAGACAATAAAATGGATGTTTGCCTTGGGATATTTAAAAAAAAAAAAAATCGATTCAGCTCTATTTTGAATTAAAACCAACATATATCTATATAGATAGATAGATAGATAGATAGATAGATAGATAGATAGATAGATAGATAGATAGATAGATAGATAGATAGATAGATAGATAGATAGATATCAATATCCTGATATTTGAATGATTTTGTTTTTCTTACACCCTTACTGTCTACAGAATCACATTAGAGATGTCTGGAATAAAGTTCTTGAATATCTCAAGTTTTAGACATCTGACAGCAGACAACTTTTATCACTTCATTTGAAAAGAACACATTACTTATTCTTAGCCTGTTGTGATTATTTTGCCTAATGATTAATGTGTCGATTATTTATTTTTTTTGGATTAATTGATAAATAAGCGGATAGCAAAAAGTTCCTTAGGAAAATATTTATAATATAATATAATATATATATTTTTTCCTTAAATGCGAAATATTGATTTTTGGTATTATTACTGCTCCGTGTGGATTGTTCTGGAAGCTAAGTTCATTTTATAGAGTCTCTATGCTCCAGTTAACGATGAATCGATTACTAAATTAGTTGACAATTATTTAAATAATCGATTAATCCGATTAATTGGTTCAACCCTAGTAAAATTCCAATAATATTAAAATGTATCTATAGATAAGATATTCTCCTGATTTGAATTAAGTTACAATAATACATTTTATTTGTCCTCATAGATGGTTCCATAAAGTCACAGTCAAAAAGTTTGTTTAATTATTGTAATTATTTATTTTCATGCAAGTTTTTGTTTTCATCCTGTCTATGGGTCCTCAGGGTGTTCCTAATACGTAGAAGCCAGATGCATGAGAACTGCTTCGTGCTGTCTTTATGTTACGAGCTGAAGGTCAAACATTGCATCATCGTCCCGGTGAGTTCCCGTCACTATTACCCTATCATCTTTAAATCTCCCTCCTAAGAAAAGGCCTGACTTTATATCTCAACCCTTCTGCAGATGTTGAAGGATGGAAAAAACTTTTTCAGCATTGATGACGGCGAGACTCTTTTCATTGACCTCCTGCAGCTGGTTGAGTTTTACCAAATCAACAAGGGCAGCCTGCCAGTGCGCCTCAAACGCCCCTGCATCTGTGTGCAGCTTTGAGGTCCCTCTGCTCTCTGGACTGCTTCATCACGCACCAAAAGCCATAAAAAAAAAAAAAAAAAAAACAAGCTGTCAGGCCTGTGGGCAAAGAGTGTAAACCAGAGAGGAAACTTTTCATCTGCGCCTCCTCGCTTTAGATTTCTTGATTATTTTCCACGTGTTGCTGCAGATGCTGGCTGTTTTTATTGTAATTAATGAACGACAAACAGTCCCCACAGAGACAGCTTAATGAGCCATGCTGGACAGGCTTTCAAGCTTTGAGGGGAGTGTTTGGAGAAGATGGACGTTGAACTTTACTTTCATTCAGTGCCATGTTGCTGAGTAGCTTTACATGGCTGCAGAAACCTCTGAATGTGTCAAATCAGAAAAAAAAAACAGGGAGGAAATGAGCCACACTGCACACTAGAGGGCGCTCTGACTATGATTCAGATTTCCATGAACAGGGAAGACATTGATGTTTCAGTAACATAAAAGGTGCCATGAATTCATTTCTGAATTGCACCTTAAAGTTATAACAGGATCTGACCTAATTGAAACAATATTAAAAGCTGCACCACTTTATTCTGGTGTATTGGATCTTTAATGCTTTAATGCATTTAAGGTTTAAAAAATGTCTCAATGCTATTTTGTACGCGAAAGTATCTCAGGTAAAGACACTAAAATAACTGTTTTATACAGCTGTGTGTAAAGGTTTACATACCCTCAAATTAAAGAAAATTATAAATTCACACTACTAGTTCAAATAATTCAAAGCTTAAAAAAGTTATGATCAATAAATATTTACTAAATGACAATTTAGTAATATCAAATATTGATTTAAAATATTTATAAAAAAGAAAAAAAAAATGCCCCAGACACATTAAAGTGCCTTGCTCATGAACATTGAACTGACATACCTTTCAACATGTGCAGAAATCTTATTGAATATTTCATGGGGTCCGTTTCACGATGGTTTAACAAACTTAAATTCAAATCCGCAACTCTATATTGATCTAGCCTAAAGTCAGGAACTCTTTTGAGTTTTTGATTTCACAACAGCTGCTATGAGTTAGATCAATCAACTTTAAGTGGGTCCACTCACAGAAGCGCGTGCGTAACAAGTTTAGAAAAGCCATCAGTCAAGCCCCGAATCAACGTGTCACCATGACAACAGGCAACAGGAAGTGCCTATTTTACCCCACCGGAACTAGATTTAAAAGACAAAGAAACAGCAATACAGCTACAAAGGTGAGGATGATAGAGAAGGAGAAGATTGTTGCTCGAGTTAATGTGTAGATGTATGTGAAGTGAACTATGGCAGGCCCTTTTTTACATTTAATAAAAACCGTCTCAAGGCAAGGCAAGGCATATTTATTTGTATAGCAAAATTCAGTACAAAGACAATGCAAAGTACTTTACATGATTAAAATACAGGAAGATAAAACCGAATCAAAGCAATTCTCGTCACAGTTGTTCTGTTTGTAGATCTATAAGATTCTTCCTGATCAAAATCACATTCCTAGAGTGAACTATAATTTTTTTTTACATTTTTTTTTTACAATTTACATTTTTACAGCAGAAACTGAATTTCGGGGGGGGGGAACAAAAACAAAATTATACTAATAAGAATTAAGTTTTCTATACCTAAAAATATTTACATATTTTAAGTGGCTGTTTTGACATTTATCAGATTGACTCAGTATGTATTTATGATAACTGAAATCCATCTTTTATAGTCAAAATACAAGGAAGATATTGGGAATACTTGTTAAGTAAAAATAATTCTCTGTAAAAAAAAAAAAAAAAGTGCTGATGTATTTTTTTTTTTTATATACACAAAACTAGGAGAAAATTTAGACTTAATCAGGAAATAAAACAAAGTTGGCTGTAAGGAGAGGGGAAATAGAGGACACTGAGTTTACTGAACAAAACCTGCTCCCGACCAGGTTAACTCTGGGGAGAATGCAATAGGGTGACTGGAAAAAAGTTGAGGAAACTCTCTTCATGAAATGGAAAAACTCTGAGCTTTCCATATTTCAGGTTTAGAAAACTGAGTTTTTCAGTAAACCTGCTTTGTGAAACGGACCCCTGCTCAGCAAAATGTTAAACAATGTTATATTAAACAAGCAGCTCCATCAGGCTTGTTTAACATATACAGTGCGAGGTTTCATACATAAAGATATAAAATTGTATTTTTTTCTGAAGAAACAACAAGAAGTGGGACACAATCATTAAGTGGAATTAAATTTATTGGACATTTAATTTTTTTTTTTTAACATCACTGAGGCTGGATGGAGAACGTTGTGAGCAGTACAGTTCTTGCAACAGATTCTCGATTAGATTCAGGTCTGGACTTTGACTTGGCCCTTCTAATACCTGGATGTGTTTATATGTGAACCATTCCATTGTAGATTTTAATTTTGTTTTGGATCATTGTCTTTTTGGAAGATAAACCTCTGTCCCAGCTCAGATCTTTTGCAGACTCCAACTTTTCTTCCAGAATGGTCCTGTATTTGGCTCTATCCATCTTCCCATCAATTTCAACCTTCTTCTTTGTCCCTGCTGAAGAAAAACAGGCCCAAACCATGATTCTGCCACCACCATGTTAGACAGTGGGAATGATGTGTTCAGGGCGATAACCTGTGTTGCTTTTACTCCAAACAGGTTTTGCATTGTTGTTTCATTTTGGTCTGATTTTGGTTTCATCTGACAGGAGCACCTTCTTCCAAATGTTTGCTTTGTCTCCCAGGTGGCTTGTGGCACACTTTAAAAACATTTTTTTTTTGACATCTTTAAGAAATTACTTTCTTTTTGCCACTCTTCCATAAAGACTAATTGTGCTGTATATGACTGATTGTTGTCTGATGGACAGAGTCTCCCACCCCATCTGTAGATCTCTGCAATTCATCCAGAGTGATCATGGGCCTATTGGCTGCATCTCTGATCAGTCTTGCTGTTTGGGCTGAACATTTAGAGGGACAACCAGGTCTTTTTACTCCATTTCAATATTATCGCTTGCATAGTGTTCTTTGGGATTTTAAAAATCTTTTCTTTTAAAGAGTATCTTGGTCTTGCCTGGTGTGTTCCTTGTTCTTCATGATACTCTCTGCGGTTTAACAGACCTCAGAGTATCAAAGATCAGGTGCATTTATTAGACTTAGACTTGATTACACACAGGTTGATTCTATTATCATTATCAGTCATTTGATCATTCATAGATCCTCACTGAACTTCTGGAGGGAGTTTGCTGAATCGGAAGTAAAGGGCCCCACTCTTTAGTTTTCTATTTGTTAAAAAAGTTACACATTTCCAATAAACTTCGTTCCACTTCATGGTTGTGCCCCACTTGTTTTTTATTCTTCACAAAAACAGGAAAACTTAATTACTTTATGTTGGACGCATGAAATGTGGCAAAGGTTGAGATAGTTTAAGGGAGCAAAAGCGTATAATGTATATATATGTGTATAAAAATATATATATATGTGTATATAACAACGATAAAGCCATTTTTTTACAGTGTTAACATTTGTACACAAATATGTTGAAGTGTGTGTTATAAGTAAGTGGGTTATGAATAAATATCCAGGGTGAATATTTATAAACGTTTGTCATTTGGTACAGTTTCCTACATGGGCTTGTCAAAAATGTATGTGAAACACATTTGTGAACAAAAAAAAAACATGGACATATGATGGAATCAAGCTCAAATCTTTTCAGTACAAATTTCAAAGCAGCAACATATTTCAAGCAAAGAGTGCAGATCAAGCAAAATCCTTTTTTTCCATTTCCGTGGAACTGATTGCAACAGAGAAGTGCTGAATGAAATTAGGTTTATCCACATCTGTATTTGTTCATTAAGGTGTTCAAGGAAACTATAAGTGATGATTTTTGACACCGGATCCAGGAGTGGGAAAATTTATAAATGGTGCTTCCTTGTTTACATGCAAGCCACATGTTTTCTTAAAGGGGACCCATTATATTTCCCTTTGAACATTTAGGAAAGGTCTATGGCCTATAAAAGCATGTTTTTAGCACTATATCAGCCTCAAATAACGATTATTTACCTCCTTGATTGCATCTTTTTTGAGCTCTTTTCAAAATGAGTTGTTTTAGGAGTCTGCCACTTAAAAAAAAATAAGCTGTATTTATACAGCACTTTATACAAGTGAAAAATGGCTACAAACAGATGCACATCCTTGACACTGAGTCAAACTCAAAAGCTGAAGGAGTGGAGCCTCCTTCCAAATCAGGAAGGATGCAGTGAGCTGTTTAATTTATGCATCGCTTTTATGCAGATGATGCTGTCATCTACCTTTCCTCTAATTCTGTGCTTCAAACTATTAAATCCCTTCTGACTGTTTTTACAGAACCAAGGCACACCTGTCATAACTTAAAATGCTACTGCATCCTATGATTCAAGCTCATGTTGTTCTCTGGAGATAAGTCATTTATACACAGTTGATCTTCTCCAGGGGTTTCCTCTGGACAAGCCTGAGGCAGGTCTATATATTATCCAAATCCAAATTTCTGGACAAAATCATAACACTGCTGTAAACTTAATTAATCCCAAGTCCTAAAAATAAGAAATTGAAAGAGAAAACAGAGTAAAATTTTAGAAATTTTTTTCAGTTATCATACTCTTGGTTATAATATGTTTAAGCATTGATTTGGGATTATATTGGTTCTCTATGTAAATCATTTCAAAGGTCTTCTTTGTGTTCATTACTTTGGAACAGTTCCACCTTTTCCAATGTTATCCATTGGTTTTGCATTGTTATATGTTCTATTTTTTATCTATGGGTCCTGGTTTTCATTGCCTCTAGTCACCACCCCTTACGTTTGGTTGAATCATATAAATTTGGGTCTGTTCCTGGACCTGTTCTCTCTTTGAATGCTTAAGACTTTAAGCTTGCTTCCATCTCTGGGTGACTGAACATTTGTGTTCCATTCGAGAAAACTGAGGATATCTCCAAATCTTCTGCATGGAGAGGATCCCTGTCCTGCAATACATTCTTGTATCATATCTCATACTACCATGTAGGCTTGAAAGGAATAGAAACTTAAAAGAATGGACTTATTCAAGACATGGAGTCTGTTTTACCTTTTTCGAACCATAGGGATTTTCTCTTGGTGTTTTATGTTATTTCTGGAGAAAGGCATTCTATGCAGGGTCATCTGACGCTCAACCGGCAACTGAAATTACTGTTTAGCTTTTAGTTGGGATTAATGGAGCCTAGGCCGAAGTTAAACTGAAGAAACTCATTGCTTTTCATACATCCACCTGCGACACAGCCAATCAGCTTTGAATCACACTTCCACAAAAGCCAATCGGCATCCAAAGCACATCTTAAAAGGCCTCCGATAGGCACTTGTCTGCTCCTGTGCGCAGGCGGCGGATGCGCTGTGACTTCATTCAGTTGACCCCGTTACAACCCACCTCCAGCCCCTCCAGGCTCATCTTAACTGGTCCGGCAGAAGACTGCCATGTATCTTTAATGGGAACGTTTTAGCTGGATTTCGAATGAAATCAATTGATACCTGAATTGTTTAATCACATAGAAAGTTTAGAGCTATTTAGATTATCCAACAAATTTTGAGGCAAGCAGATGAGGTAAGCAACTACTTTTCTTCTCCCTATCTTTGCAGAGTTCACAGTGCGCGCAGCCTTAGCAGTGTTGACCCAGAGCCAACAGAACTGGTGACTGTTGGTGATTTCATGGTTTTCTAAAAAGACCAGATAAGAGACCGTTTTACTTTTTCTTGGTGCTTTTGAGTTGGTGTCTGGAATAGGTGTGTGAACCTGATTTTGTCCCCCCAAAAAAGAACAAACTGGGAATTTTATGCAAACTTCGCTTT